GAACGCGGGCAGCGCGGAGACTGAAAGTCCACCGGCAGCCGCGCACGCACAGAGGCGAGCCCGACGGGGCGCCCCACGCCCGGACCCAAAGACCCGGACGTGAGAGGAGGAAAAAGGGAGTTTGCGCCAACGGAGAGGAGGGAGTCAATCTCTGTCAATCCTTTCCGTGTCTGGGCTGGGTGAGGTTTCCCGTGTTGAGTCAAATTAAGCCGCCAATTGCTGAATGCCGCAGCCGACGAAGGCCGCTATGCAACAGTGGAGGGTTCGAGAAACAACAGNTGCAATTGTAATTGGGTGTGGTATATTTTCATGCACGGACACGCATGTTCCACAACACACAAACTGAACAACACTCAATTTTCCGATCGCTACCAGCGTGACGCTGGTAGCGATCGGAAAATTGAGTGTTGTTCAGTTTGTGTGTTGTGGAACATGCGTGTCCGTGCATGAAAATATACCACACCCAATTACAATTGCATGTTCAATTCACTACCCTGGAAGTTAATACAGTTGTTAAAGTTGGAACAGCCTGTGGACAGCCGTTCTTCCTTGCATGTCAGTCGCCGACACCTTCTTACAGAGGACAGGCACATCTAGCTGCAGCACGACCCGTATATTTCTGCACGCCGTGTTGTCAATAATTTTTTTTTTTAACATCTTCAACATCGTGGATACATCCTTATATGCTCCCGGCAACACACTGAACGTCAACTTTGCCTCCTTATTACACTCACCCCTACTTTAGTGGGAACAATGAGTCTGCGTCTTTGATGCACAGAGGAATAAACGCAGATCATCCTCTGGCTGCAGCCTTTATCGGTACTTGCTTTTGATCAAAGTTAATGCGGAAAACCTGCACTCACACAGGTAGGTGGAGGGGAAGGGAATGAGCACTTTTACAGCCTTTTTGGCGAGGTGGGGGAACTCGGTCTCCACAGACAGCCACAAGTGGGCAAGTGTCACTTTACTCGTCTTTTTCTCGTTCTTTTGTGTCTCACGCTGCGCCTCCCCTGAAGCTCTCTGGCGCCCCCAAGGGGAGGAGCGCCTCACACTTTGAAAACCGCTGTGCTATTGTATTATGTCGGTTGACAAAATGTATGTTTTTATTTTATTAGGACAATAACGTTCTGTTGTGTTTGTTTAGTTTAATGTTAATCGTTTAATGCTCACAGCAACATGTTTTTTGTGTGATTGGCTATTTGTTTTATATGATTTATTAATGTGATCATCAATAGCTAATCTGAACTAATAAACTAACGTGAGCGTGGTGCTATTTCTCCTACAGAACGCAGCTCATGTGTCCTTTTTATGTTGTGCATTGAAACGCAGGTATGTGAGTTTTGTACACCAGTTTTTTTATGTTTAATGTTTCACATTGCTTATGAAAATACTACAACTATACGATCATGGATGTTTTGCTGTTGATTATTGGACACTTATTTTGTAAAAGACATAGTCGCGTGAGGATCTCTTGAGAAACGCAGCTCAAGTGTCCTTTTTATGTTGTCCATTGAAACGCAGGAAATAAACGGAAGTAATCCCCAGCTCTGAGTGATCTGTTGCCGGGGTTACACTGGGTTACACATGCAATTTTTTTTTTTTAAATTAAGTTAGTAGATTTTTCTTACCGAGGCCGCCGCTCTTTTTTGTCTGGTAGTCAGAAACATAAATGCTGTTGTTGTTCAGCAGATTCTCCGTGGACCTGGATATTTGTTTAAAAGGGAAATATGTTATTCTGGACATTACGCAGAAATATGATGGTGAAAAATCTGTAGTATTTTACCTCTTCTCCTCCGTTTCTTTATTTCTGTTCTTGTCTTTCTTCTTGTCTTTCCTGGACAGTGTCCTCTTGAAGCTCTGCATCACACCTCCTTTCTCCTTCTCCTGACTCTTCTCCTTTAAATTTCATAAAAAAGGACATATAAGTGAGATTGTGTGGTGAAAAGAGTTTAAACTGCAGATTTAATGAACTTCTTTGAGCTGTACCTCCAAACTTTTCTGGTCTTTTTTGAGCACGAAGCGTCCCTCTCTGTTGTCTCTGTTCCAGTTCAGCTGAACGACCAACGGACTGTCATCCAGTTCCAGTTTACGCTCTTAAAACACAAAAACACATAAAAAATATGCAAAAATACTCTTAAATAAACAACAGCTGCAAACATTTATCAATGAGTGTCATCAACTTAATTAATCACCAACTAATCTGCCGTCTTAAAATACAGTTTGAGTGGAGTGTTTACCTTTATTGGCGTGGATCTCGAACAGAGAATAGCTCGTCGTCAGCATCTTCATGTCAGGTCTGAATTTCTCCGACAGCGTGTCAATGACTTCCAGAGTTTTCCAGCTGCTGCTGACCCGTAGACACTTCGTCGCCACGTTTCCTGAGACTCCGTCCTCCAGGTAGAAACGCATCACGCCATGAAACTCCAAATTCTGAAAGAACACAGAAAGAATGGGCGCATGCATCAAGTTATTTGGATCAGGGGTTCTGTAAAACACTACAAATTGTCTGTACATTTTCCTAGCGCTCCAACTAACTGCGGTCAAGCCAGCCTCCACCCGGGAAAACCTAGTCAAGCCAGCCCTCACGTGATATTGCGGTGCGCGAATATCCTATGCATTACGGTAGAGTAAAAAAAAATCCTCCCTCTGTGTTTAGATGAGAATAAAACAAAAACTGTCCAGTATCAAAGACTAATTTCACTTCAGGGTGATAGCAAGACATACCATCTAGTCACTCAGAAAGAATCAGGACATTCTGATGTACAGTTTCAAAATAAAAGACCTTTGGGGACAGGGATGATAGCTCATATATGAGACTTCAAATAACATAAAATGAGGTATAAATAGACAAAAATAACACAAACGTGACAACCCTCTTCGGACCCTGGTTCCCTAAAAGGTAGCTGTAGTTGGGGTGTGACAATCGATCATGTTACCTGTTAATTTTCGGAAACTAAAGAAACTTAGAACTTTTTTTTGTTACAAATTTTCCCAATGCAAATAAAACATAGCGTAGTGTTCCGTCGTCATGAAGGACAAATCTTGTACCACTGTTTTGTATTTGAACACATTACCTTCATTTGTAACGTCCATAATTTTCTATGACAAGACACATATCATAACAACTCTAGGTCCCGGATATAGTTAAGTGCTTGAAGTGTTTCCGTATAAACAATCCAAAATCTCAGCATTGTCCCATCACAGAGAGAATATTTTCTCCACGGAGAGGACCGACTAACAAGTCAAACATATAGTCATATCATCAACAGAGAGACAATTTCTCAGGAGAGGACACTACACAGTCCCACATATAAGTCATACACACCAGAGAATGAAATTTCCAAGGAGAAGGACGACTACAAATTCCACCATATTAGTCATACATCACAGAGATGAAACTTTTCTCAGGGAGACAGGACGACTACAGTCCACATATAAGTCACAACATCACAGAGATGAAATTTCTTCAGGAAGAGGACGACTTACAAGTCCAATATAGTCATACCATCACAAGAGATGAAATTTTCTCCAGGAGAGAAACGACTACAAGTCCACATACTAGTCTACACATCACAGAGATTGACCTGTAACCAGAGGTACTCAAATTACAAGTTTTTCGTAGAAATAAAAAGAGTAGGACGGACATCGACGTCCGTGAGAAAGTGGGAGACAGCTTTTGGTCCTCGGGTCAGACGAGACTAAACCAAAACGACCGTGTCGAAGACAACACTATTGTTCGAATACCGCGTAAGGGGGGGGCGGTCACGGAGCGACCGGAGCGAGACAAACC